AATTCCCAGGATGGTATTGGAATTCTGGGGATAGAATTGCGATTCCCAGGATGGAACTGGGATTCCCAGGGATGAAACTGGAATTCCCAGGATGGTATTGGGATTCCCAGGACAGAACTGGGATTCCCAGGGTCGGAATTCCAATTCCCAGGACAGAATTTGGATTCCCAGGAGGGAACCGGGATTCTGGGAATGGAACTGGCATTCCCAGGGATGGAATTGTGATTCCCAGGACAGAACTGGGATTCCCAGGATGGAATTGTAATTCCCAAGATGGAATTGGAATTCTGGGGATGGAATTGCGATTCCCAGGATGGAAATGCAATTGCTGGGATGGAATTGGGATTCCCAGGAATTAAACTGAAATTCCCAGGACAGAATTTGGATTCCCAGGACGGAACTGGGATTCTGGGGACGGAACTGGGATTCCCAGGGACAGAATTCCAATTCCCAGGACGGAACTGGAATTGCCAGGACGGAACTGGGATTCCCAGGGATGGAATCGCGATTCCCAGGACAGAACTGGGATTCCCAGGAACGAACTGGGATTCTGGGAATGGAACTGGGATTCCCAGGGATGGAATTCCAACTCCCAGGATGGAACTGGCATTCCCAGGACGGAATTTGGATTCCCAGGAAGGAACTGGGATTCTGGGGACGGAACTGGGATTCCCAGGAAGGAACTGGAGTTCCCAGGACAGAACTGGGATTCCCAGGGCGGAATTCCAACTCCCAGGACAGAACTGGGATTCTGGGGAAGGAACTGGGATTCTGGGGATGGAATTGGTATTCCCAGGACGGAACTGGGATTCCCAGGACAGAATTCCAACTCCCAGGACAGAACTGGGATTCCCAGGGATGGAATCGCGATTCCCAGGAACGAACCGGGATTCTGGGAATGGAACTGGGATTCCCAGGGACGGAATTCCAATTCCCAGGACGGAACTGGGATTCCCAGGATGGAATTGTAATTCCCAGGATGGTATTGGAATTCTGGGGATAGAATTGCGATTCCCAGGATGGAACTGGGATTCCCA